TAAAACTACAATCAGTCAAGGAGTCCGCCCAGGGGTCTTTAGCAAAAGGCCAGCGGTGGGCGTAGACCTGCGGGGCACTGGAGAAGGGTCAGAGCTGGAGCACTCACTGCTGCATGAAGATCATGGTCTCCACAAGCACCAGAGGAGGTGCTGGCTTCGGGTGCAGGGAACGCAAGTGCGGAGGTGGGAGGCATTCAGTCACTGGTCCCCGCATTTAACAAGCTTCTATTACGTGCTTCTTTTACTAGGTAGACAGATAAACCGTCTTGATTCTTAGTGAAACAGAAATTATTGGCGATTGTCTTTTGCACACATGAGTAGCACAGCATGTAAAATACAGAAGAAATGCTAGTTACAGGGAGTAGACATGGCCAGTTTTACTTACTTGCACAATTTCGAAGGAAGCAGAGGAAATGGAAAAGATGCAGATTTTGGAAGTGGACCCTCACCATTCTAAAAGAAAAGGCATTCTTTTTACTTTATTTTATCTCTTTAATGGTACCAAAGTTTTATGAAAGGTAGGAAAAGAAAGAGGCTCTACAGAAAGAGTTTGGGTCAAGTAAAAGTAGGAAAAGAAGTGTACAAGTGTACCCTACAGCCTACACCCTATAGTTATTTTACACTGTGAACATGATTGAATTGTGGGAAACTCTTGTTACCAGGTTGTGTATAAAATGTAAGGACCGCCCAATGCAAATGAAGAGGAAGGCACTGAGGAGACAGCTCCAGGAAATACGCTTCTCTTAACGGGCACGCACTTGCCTTCCTCTTCTCCATGTAGCCAGCAGATACCCTCTCAGCTCTCTCATTTCTCTATCTGCAAAAGGGGATCATAAATTTTCTTGCTGTCCTTAAGCTGGAATCCCTTTTATGCATCCGTAAATGGACTTTGAAGAGTCTGTGTGCCCCACCCATGTGGAAATTCTGTGCAACATTAACATGCATGGTTACTGTTTCTGGGGAAATAATCTCAAAGTACAGCATTTTGGGCTTTTTTGAAAAGAGTGGTAATTACATAACTAAGCTTCATATTATAGGGAAAAAAAGGAATGAAACCAAATTGCCATTATAGACTAATAAGTTTGAAATAAAATACTATATGAGAATAAAATAAAACCCAGAGGGGCGAAGTGTACTTTGTGTCTAATTCACTCCTCACTTACATCTGAGAGTCACAATTCCAGGGTCCGCTCTGGCTGCCACGACATGTGTGTTGCTGGGTCCCCAAGCCACAGCTCTTTTGAGTTAGTTGTGTGCAAAGAAGGTGTGGGTAGATCTACATGAGCAGCTGTGTGAGGGCCTGGATGAGTAACATCACACAGTACTCTGCGGACCAGCCTGTGAGGAGGGACAGGAACTCCCACCGGCAGCTCAGCCACTCGATAGTGGCCCGTGGAGTCTTCTCCCCATGGGGAGCTGTCACATAGGCAGGGACTATATGTACACTGCTCACTGTACCCCAGATCCTGGCACTTATACCTACCAAGTATTTGGCTCTCAAAACATAGCTAGCTTCTTAACGAACCGCATTATTTTCACGAGAACAGACACCGGTTGTGGTGTTTCTGATGGCGATGTCGTTTCTGATGGAGATGTCATTTGCTAATCATGGGACTAGATGGTAGCTTCAGTCTCTGCAATTGCTTTTTTCCTTCTACAAAGAACTTACAGGGCTTCCCAGAGTGGAGCCTCTGTCTGTTACTTTTCATTTGTGTGTGAGCTTTCCCACCTATTGTCTTACAAAAGATCCACTTCACACCTTAAAAATGTGAGAAAATAAGGCTTGAGAATGAAGCCGTGCAGCCAAGCTCTCACAGATAGAGGGTGAAGAGCTGTGCCTCAAGTCCTTATTTTTCCTCCAAATTCAGTACTCTCTGGACCACACGCACTGTGCCCCAGCGCTACGGTAATAAAGGCTGCCACGAACTCTTACCACTACTAAGGTGTCAGTGTCAGCTACCCAGAGTCTCACTGAATGGCCGCTAATGAACGTGTCCGACTGGGGATGTAGCTGAGGGGGCAGTGCCTGGCTGGGAAGTGCGAGGTCCTGAGTTTGATTTCCGGTACCAAAATAAATAAATAAAATAAAATAAAATGAACTTGTCCTGAGGAATGTGATCATTAAATATTACAGACATGTACTAATAAAAATCTAAAAATACATTTGGTAAAGTGATTTAAATTAGTCTAGAAAATTTTATGGTTTTTATTTATTTATTTATTTATTTACTTATTTTTGCAGTACTAGGAATATGAACCCAAGGCTTTCATAATGAGTTACATCCTCAGCCCTTTTTATTTTTTATTTTGAGGCAGAGTCTTGTTAAATCACTAAGTTGCCCAGGCTAGGTTCAAACTTATGATCCTCCTGTCTCAGCCTCCTAGAGTGCCAGGATTATAAGCACACTCAGCTAAAAATTCTAGGACCCTGAATGTAATTTGGAGACAGCCAAGATCTTGAGAGGGAAGAGAATTGTTTAGGCAAGACCCTGTTTTCTCTCTTTTTTTCCTTCTAATCAGATTTTATTGGTATATTTTAGATATGCATAATGATCACATTCATCATAGAGAATTTGTACCCGTATATGACATAACTTGTTTTTTCCCATCCCCCTCCCCTCCCTTCAACACCTCTTCCCCTCCCCATTTACAAAAGCTTTGTTTCCATGTTTTCCTTTTCCTCTCATTATTTGTTTATCTTTTTCCTTCCTTCCTTTCCCCCACTCTCTCCCTTGTTCCCCTTCCCACTTGAACAGGTTCTTCTTATTTCACAATATCTATTACACATTTCAGTCCTTATTTACACCTTCGGTTTCTCACACCAGAGAAATAATGCAGTATTTACACATGTGTAAGTACACTTAGAAGTATGGACTCAAGGTGTATCCATTTTCCTAGAAATGTCTTGACTGTATTCTTCTTTATGGCAGAGTAGTAGTCCATTGAATAAAAACAACACATCTTTATCCATTTACCAGTTGATGGGCACTTGGGTTGTTTCCAAGATTTGGCTATTGCAAACTGTGCATTATAAACATAGGTGTGCATATATCACTGTCATATGAGGCTTCTAATACTTTTAAAAAGATACCCAGGAGAGGAATGGCTGGGTCAAATAGAAACTCTGGTCCTAGTTTTTTGAGGAATCCCCACACTGGTTTCCACAGTAACTGCACCAGCCTACACTCTCATCAATAGTGGAGAAGGGTTCCTTTTTCCCCACAGCTCCACCAGCATTTGTTATTGGTTGATTTCTTGATAGTAGACATTCTTTCCAGGGTGAGATAAGATCCTATTTTCTCACCTGAAAATTGAATGTAATGGTACCAGTTCTGCTATCTTCAAAAGTATATTCTGCAAGTCAGATCTAAACTAATAAAGATATTAAAGATATTCCATGGCATACAAATCTCAGGTGTTATTTTTTTGAAAACACAGTGTATGTTCAAACAGGGATAGCGGGTTTGGGCATACCATGTTTTTGCCTTGCTTACACCCCAAAAGGAAGAGTGAACTGTTACAAAAAGCCATGGGAAGGGATCAGTGTTCTCTTCACATTCACACTGTGGCTGTGTGGACTCCGCATGAGATGGATTTTGTTTTTATCGAAGAGTGCAGATTCCACGGGTCAAGATGGCGCCTGCTCGGTATGTCCGCCGTGACACAGCAGTCTCCGCTCTAACCCCTGTGAAAGAGAATTTGTTCTTGGCCCATGTTTTAGGTGAGGATGCTCAAGTTTGGGGAGTTGGTGGGAAATTGTCTGAATCATAAAACAAGTGCCGGTGAACACCAAGAACGCGCTTGGTGGTGGTTCTGTCAGGCAACGTGGATGACAAACAATGGCAATGCCTCTGGCTCCAGAAGCCTCTGGGGCTTTCATTTTAGTCTTTTTTCCCTTTCATCCTCTCAGTTTCCCAGATGGCTAATATTTACGAGATGTGATCAAAAAGTATGATGAATATACTTAAAAAAAATACTACAGTAAAAGTCCCATGGCTGTTAATCCTCCTCAGAATACTTCCCCCAGGCTTCTCTCCACTTTCTGGAGCAGTTCTGGAAGCCCTCTTCTGTGAGTGTGTTTAATTGGGCTGATGTGGATGCCTCAAAGTCCTGAGTTGGTTCCAAATGTTTACAGCAATTTCTGTCACAAAAAACATGACAGTGTGTCCTTACCATTTCGTTCAGCAAATCTGGCACTGTGTGACTTCGGACTCTTCCCCAAAGTCAAAATAACCATGAATGGTCAACGCTTGAATTGATTCAGAACATGAAAGCGGCCACAACAGCACAAGTAAAGACTCACACAAGGGTCTCACAGAAGTACTTTAGGAAGTGGAAGGAATGTTGAAATATGTGTATTAAAAGCAAGGGGAAAAAAATAAAAGCAAGGGAGAATATTTTGAAGGTGATTAATGGCAATGTGTCCCTTTGATTTTTTTGAGCCAGGGTCTTGTTATGTAGTTCAGGCTGGCCTTGAACTTGTGAGGATTCTCCCGCCTCAGCCTCCTGAGTGTTGGGATTATAGACATGCAACACCATGCCTGGCTGATAAATTAGAAACAAAACAAAACAAAAATCATTCACTGTATTTCTTTCTTGCACACACCTAGATACAATTTCCGCTTTAGTGTATTAACTTTCAGATACATGTGTATTCGCTGCTTGAGGTCATTCTAATGGGGTCTGTTGAGGACAGGGCAGAGTGCTTATACCTCCCACAACCAAACTGTAATAGCCCTATTAATCGAGACAAGCCAGTCCAATAGAGTGCCTTTTCCTACAGCTCATGGATTATAAACACTTCGCGTAAGTATTCATATGTTTCCCATAAAGTATTTGGCTAAACGAAAGTAATAATTTTCACTAGCAGTGATGTAAATTCTGAGCATCTGTACTTCGGTGATCGTTGGCGGAGACTTCTTTTTCTTACGGTTTGTTCTCTGGCAACAGTATTGTGCGGAAACAAAAAGGCAGTGATAACTATCCCTTTTCTCTTACAGGTTGATGACCAAATGAAGCTGCTTCAGAACTGCTGGAGCGAGCTCTTAATCCTCGACCACATTTACCGACAAGTGGTGCATGGGAAGGAAGGCTCGATCTTCCTGGTTACTGGGCAACAAGTGAGTATAGCGGCGACACCCCCCCCAGCATCTTGTTGTTAAGCATGTTCAGAATGGCAGGCATGTAACTAGGTCAGAAGCACTCTTGTGCTTCGAAGGGAAGAGATTGGCTGCCGGTAATTTAGAAAAGATGACTTGGGGCACTCAGTTCCTGCTCCGATGATTACAGATAAACTTGTAAAAGCAAACATAATCATAAGCTTCTGCGGCTGCTTCCAGTCTGTGGGGATGGAAAGTTCTGCTTCCAGGGGTCAGAACAGTTGCTAAATCAAATTCAGTGATTAGTGCTGAGTTTTTCCCCCTCGAGCTTCTGCATTAACCTGCCATGTTTGCTTGCTGACTACTTCAAAACCTTGCAGAATCTCCACTACGTTGGGATGATATTGGTGGAGATTGAGTCAAATGCTGCTCCAGTCAAAATAGTTGGCATAAAGCCCAGCACATCCAGTTTTCAAGAGCCAGTCTTTGAAAAAGAAAATATTATTATTAATATTTTCTGAGTAGGTACTTTTTGAATAGGTGCTCGTTCAATCAAGAAAGATTATTGAACCTCCTGTTGTGTGCTTGTCACTGTTCTGGGGATTTGGTATATATTAGTGAACACAACAAAAAAATCTGCCCACATTGATGAGCTGATAATCAACTCAACACGCTGGGCATGGTGACCCATGCCTGTAATCCGAGGACCCAGATGGCTGAGACAGGAGAATCGTGTATTTGAGGCTAGTCTGGGCTATACTGTACAGTGAGAATTTGTCTCAAAAACACAGAAGGAAAACAAATCTTAATTAAATAAACCTGCAATATGTTCAAGACCAAAGTACTAGGAAAGGAAAAGGAAGGAGAAGGGAAAGGGGAAGGGAAAAAGGAAAAGAGCCAGTAGGTAAGGGTGAATCTGCACATATGCATGGATGCATGTTGTGCTATGACCCACGGGTCACAGTAGATGTTTTGTTTCTTTGTTTAAGTTTTTTGCAGTGTTGGGGTTCAAACTCAGGACGCTGCGCATAGTAAGAAAGCACTCGGCCACTGAGCAGAGCAGGAGTGGTGATTAGCCCTTCCGAGAAGGAGGGAAGACTTTGTAAAGGGGGAGAGGCAGCCACGTAGACAATCTCAGAAAAGAGAGAATCTATTTGATGGACCTGATTTCAGCTATGCAGGATATGGACCGATCTTTCCAGGTGCTTCCTCTCTACCCTGCAGCTGATGGATTAGCGGCACCCGTGATTGTTTGAGCCTGCCGGGCCATCCCTGCGGGCCACGCCGCCTTGTTCAGCAGTGGTGGCTCTAGCACGGGAACACTGCGATCTTTTACATCCAGCCATAAATGTTTATGTGCTGTGAAACCACAGCAGTGCATATTCGGAGATGAAAAGCCGTCTCCACACCATTTGCTGTATTATTAATAAATCACACTTTCCCAATCAAATTAAAGGCAAGCTCTCTTTCGGAGTTTTTGCAGATTGGATCAATTCAACCATCTCCCATCACTTTCTGGTCTCAGCTTTCCCAAATTCTTTGAGCAAAGCTTTCTAGACATGCTGTGCTTTCAAATTTTGCGTAGCACTTTTGTCCTAGGGCCCAAGCCTTTAAAGGAAATGTACCCATTGTCAGAGTCTGATCACCCGGTGTCCACACCTGCACCTCCCCTCAGCTGGGCCCCACTGCGAGCTGCATTAGAAGCACAAGACCCGGCTCATAAATTAATTCAATTTCATTTCCTTCAGAGTTTTAAGAAATAAAATGGGCTTGGGCCTTGCCATTCCTGCTCTTTAGAAATATTTCCTTTTTCACATTTCATTTTGCCTTAAGTGCTGTCCCTGGGTAAAGGTAATTATGACTTAAGAAGTAGAGAAAAGTGCCTTTCTCGTTTCTCTGACTTTCAAAACCAGGAACGGTCAGGACTAAGTACTATCATGGTCTTTAGGGTCAGTTAGCTCTGCTTTGCGTGTTGCCTCAGAATGGGAAGAGGGACCCTCCTGGTAGAAAAGTAGTCTTTCCCGCACACCTTTTCCTCCACTCCGATCTCCCGGCTCCCTTCTCCTTAGGGTGCCAGAGTTCTTCCCTTCCAATCGGAGCAGAATGCTCACCGAAAGATTTTGCCTCATCATCAGACATCCTCATGTAGAGCAATTATCGGAGAAAGCTGCTTTCCTTGGTGGAACAGGCTAATCAAGGCATTTCGAATGTGTGTCTGGCTTTCCTGCAAAGCTATAGAGTAAAGGCAAAAATGCTCCACATGAAGACTTTTCCAGAGCATGTGCACTGTCCAACAGAATGAGAAAGATGTCTGATTTTTTTCTCCTTCCTGGAGGTCCAACCCAGGGCCTCATGCATGGAAGCATGCACTGAGCCACACCCCCAGGCCCCAAAAGACATTTGAAAACAGAGTAATATAGATCTACCTCGTACATGCTCACAGCATCTACTGCAGCGCTGAGGCATATGATTAATGCTAACTGATTGTACTAAATGGCAATTGTCATAGCTCTACCTAAATGCTTAACTAAGACTCAGGACCCTTAGAAACACCTTTACAGTGTTCCCATGTCTCGCTCAGACCCTCTCCGCCTTTCAACTTACTGTTACGGGTCTTGGATACCGACAGTGTTTTCCAGTAAGAAATCACCTACCTGCTGTTGCAGACCATTTTCATGCCCTGTGGGCTGGGAAAATAGGTGAAAACTGAAGTATAATTTTCTGACAATGGTAAACATTTCCCTAATCATAAGCACAAGGAACCTAGGTTTTTAATCAAAACAGCATCGGTAACACTAATATTAAATTGTTTGGTGTACACAGCAATTATAAGGAGAGAAGAAAGAAGGAAAAGCATACATTAAGTGTAAAAGAGCAATATTCTGAAAAAAATTATTTTGAGAAACAAGTAAATGGAAATAATGGAAAAGAGAGAGAGAAAAACATTTGTTTGCTACTTTTAAAGCCCAAATACCAACGGAGCTATAAGTGGAGCATATTTTTGTCAGTAGCACAGCCTGTTTGCTTTGGGTCTGAAATGATGTGTGTGTGTGTGTGTGTGTGTGTGTGTGTGTGCGCACACTTGTGTGTAACACATCATTTGTAGTCTGGAGTCAGAACACCCTGCATTTGTGTCCCCAAGCAGAACCACCTAGCCTTGCCATCCTGTGTGAGCAAGTACCTTCACCTTTCAAGCCTCTTTGTCCTCAGCTGTCCCTTGGAGATGTAACACTGCCCACAGGAGAGAATTATGGGATATAGTTCTGTAAAGTGTTGACACTGAAAAGTGGAAGTCATCAAATACTAAGCTGACACAAGTCTGACATTATTGAAGTCCACTACCTTATAAAGACAATATTATCATAGCTTTTTTGGAGATAAGGAACTGAGGTAAAGAGAGATAAAGCAATTGATTCAAGGTCAAAGCACTCATACTCAGGTCTAGGCATTCTGGCACCCAACTTGGATTTTTGTTTTGCTCAGTTTTTCAGATAGGGTCTCAATATGTTGCTCAGGCTTATTTCAAACCCCTGGGATCACAGAAACCTCTTGCCTCAGCCTCCTGAGTGCACTGCACCTTAGAATTTTAATTCAGGCTGGCTTTGAACTCACTTTGTAGCCAAGAATGGCCTCAAGCTCAAGGTGATCCTCCTGCCTCAGCCTCCCATGTGGCAGGATTACAAGCATGCACCACCACCACCCCTGGCTGGGAATTTATATTCTTAACACCCTCTACTGCTTTTCTGTGTAACTCACAGATACTACACAACTTGTCTTTGCCATCGGCTTGTAATTTGGTGTTTCTGTATAACTTATTTCCATGTGTGAGAACCTCTGTGGAACTTCTAAACACAATAATTCATTTCTCTTTAAATGCATAAACTTTTTAAGGTTCTTTTTTGGTTTTAGTTTTTTGGGGAAGAGCACTTTAAACACACTGTAATGATAAATTTAAATTATTCAGAAGCAATTTTAATGTGAACACTATTTACTATTGCAATGCCACTTTAGCATTAAGAAGAAAAACTAGAAATACCTTGGGTCACTTGGGCTGGCCACGTATCACCGATCTTTTATGGGTCATTTCTCCATCAAGTGTATGGCCAGGGTCTTTTCTGTTCCCTCCCATCCCTTCTCTTACATAAATAAAAGCAGCGAAGCCCTTCGCACTTGATGACATACTATCCTCATCTGGACAGGTTGTTAATTCCTTATTGTTTGCATGGATAGAAAGGATGGCTTCCGAGAAAGTTGCGGGAGTCAAGAAATTGTCCGTTGGTTGCCTCAGTCAGAAGAGTTAAATAAACATACAAATTTCGGTGGTGAAAGGACAGACAGAATATGCTCTTTCCTGACTGTTTTCTTTAAGAAAAGCAACATCAGTCTGTGGAAGTTACTAGAAAGCTGTGGTCCAAGTTTCCTCATAGGGAAGGTCTTTTGGCTTAATCCTCAGCCACCATCTCTTTCCAAATTATTTAAGATACTTGATGATTAAGTAACTCATTGGTTATGTCCTAGTTATGGATATCACTGAAGTATGTAATTTGTGTTTAATTTGTTGATTTTGTATTTGTAATTTTGTGACCTTCAGAGTTTTTGTCTGCTTCTTTTTCCGCACAAGGCTTTTTTCTCTTTGTTTTTAATTCTATACAGAATATTCAATTTTGCAAACATATTAAAATAATTTGCCTTCTAGGCTAGAGTTTATTTTATAATTGCAAGAAAAAAGTCCATGAGTTAGAGGTGCAGCTCAGTGGTAGAGAACGGGGCTAGCATGCAAGGGGCCCTGGGTTTAATCCCCAGTAAGGCAGGGAAAGAGAGGGGTGGGGGAAGAGGACCAGGAGGAGAGGAGAGAGGGGAGGGGAGAGATGGGAAGGGAAGGGAAGGGAAAAAGAAGGAAAGGGAGGGGAAAAAGAAGGAAAGGGAAGAGAAAGAGAAGGAAAGAGAGAAGAAAAGAAAAAGCCAGGCGATCACTGAGAATTCAAGACCAGCTTGGGCAAAGTTTGAGGCCAACCTGAATT